GGCAGAGAGAGGGGGAGGGAGAGAGAATCCCAAGCAGGCTCCACGCGGTCAGTGCAGAGCCGGAGGCGGGGCTGGACCCCACGAAATGTGAGATCATGACTCGAGCAGAAAAAAATTGAGCCCACTGCTCAACCGACTGAGCCACCCAGGCGCCCCTCTCTCTTCTGTAAAGTTAATGATTATTTTTTTTATTGTGGTAAAAAAAAAACAGAAAATTTACCGTCTTAATCAAGTATGCAGTTCAGTGGCATTGCGTCTGCACTAGGGTGAACCAGAATCTCCAGAACTTTTCTGTGGCCACTAAACAGCAGCTCCCCTGCCCCTTCCCCCCCAGCCCCTGGCAATCGCCGCTCTACTTTCTGTCTGCGAGTGTGACTACTTTAGATGCTTCCTCTAAGCAGAATCGTGGGATCATACGTGTTTTTGCCCATTCGTGACTCAACTCCCCTTCGAGTTTTGTTTTTTTGCGTACACTCGTCTCTGTGGGAGGTTTTTTTTTTTTTTTTTTTTTTTTACCTCGGTGAGCTCTTGGGGAGTATGGAGGCTGTAGATAGGCATTCCGCTTTTCGTGTTCTTTCACGCGCAAACTTCCACACCCTTTTCACTTGTCACAGCTCTACCGGGCTGTGTCCTGGCATGCTTATTTCGCTCTTCACCTTGGGGCAGTTTGGACTGTTATCAATTTTTCAACACCATAAGTAGCGGTACCGGGTCGAATCTTTGAACATTACTTTCTACTTGGGTAATTTCCTTCCAGTGAATTTGCCCAAAGCAGAATCCAAGGTCAAGTTTTGTAGGTCTTGCCATAGACTGTGATTCAGAGACTGAATCAACTTGGTGTAAGTTTTAGACTCTACGGCCCCATCAGTTTTGAGTTTTGTCAATTTAACGGACTTTTGTTAAGTTTCTGGAAGACAGAATATATTCTCTGATTGTGTAGGGGCATGACTAACTAAAAAATAAAAGTATACCTGGTTTCCTGTCGTGTATATGAACAAAAATCTGAAGCCTTTAAGTGGGCTACCTCTTTCAGATGATCATGGATGATGCTATGGTTAGAAATACCAACCAAGTAATACTGAAATGCTCTAGTATCAGGTAAGAAGAGTGTTCAGACCAAGGAACTAGTGTTACTAGCCCACTGAACTCTACACGGGTCAGATCATACAAGAAAATCCCCTCCCTCTCTATCCTTCCTTCCCCTGTTAAAACCCTCTGTCAGCTCCTGGTCCCAAGGCCTAGGTCTCTTGTGTTTTTCCTCTGTGAGTCTAGCCAATGGTTCTTCATATTAGCTTCATCTGGGGAGATTCAAAAATACTCATTCCTAGGCTCCTCAGGGATGGAGATTTATTTGCTTTGGAATGCATCCTGGTCATCTGTATTAAAAAAATTTTTTTTTAATATTTACTTTTGAGAGAGAGAGAGAGCGCGAGCGCACGCGCAAATGGGGGAGGGGCAGAGAGAGAAGGAGACGCAGAATCTGAAGCAGGCTCCAGGCTCTGAGCTGTCAGCACAGAGCCCAAAGTGGGGCTCGAACCCACAGACTGCGAGATCATGATCTGAGATGAAGTCGGACGCTTAACCGACTGAGCCACCCAGGCACCCCACTGGTCATCCGTATTTTTAAAAATCTTCCCAAGCGATGCTAATGTGCAGTGAGGGTTTCCAGCCTCAATGCTCGCTACAGTTACTGCTCAATAAATGCGTGTTGAATGACTTAATGATTGAATGTGACTTAACTGGGCACCTGTGCATTTGTGCCAGGCAACTGGTGAGGGTGATCAGGAGCTTCTACTCTG